GTGTGATGTTTACTTGAAAGAGAGGCCGACAGTGAGTACGAAACTTTAATTTCTTTATGGTAAGACAGTAAAGAAGAGAGAAGAAGCCACGACAATAAAATGTGGAAAGAACTAATCGCCTCCTGTCTTTTGATACGACGTGCCCCGCACAGAAAACGACGCGTCAAACAATTGTTCTATTGTTGCGTGTGTATTCGTTTCCGCGGGAACGTGTTTGCCGAGATGTTGCCCAGCAACGATATGGGAGATAGGCAAACAGACACAAAACAAGGTGATCTCATAGACCTACATTTATATTTTCTTTCTCAAATTATGGGAAGTAGCCTAAGGACTTTTCTACGCATACACAAAATATAAAGGCCATTACATAGCAACCCCGGTAACGTGTTTACCTCTGTTGTCTAGCAATGGCCGTCTCCACTGTCTTTTGGGAGTTACAATGTGTCCATTCTTCGCCCCTCCCCCCCGTGTGAGAGGGAGGAGGAGGTCACGCTCAGACACACAGACAGAAAGGAATATCATAAGCCTACTTTAGGAAAGTAGGCTGAACATTTCGCCAAAATAAATCGTATGCAGGATTTGAGGTTCTCACAACTGTGGTTATGAAGAGCACTATCTTCTGGGGTATAACGGCGTGTAGTCCGTTGAAAGTCAACCGACGTTTCGGAGGAAAATATCTCCTCTATCTTCAGGGCTACTTGCCACCTGTTTTCACCGTTTTTTTGCTCGGTCTATTCTACGACTCTGAATGTAGAGATGATTTGTTCCTCCGAAGAATAGGTTGATCTTCAACGGACCATATGGCGTACATTGTAGGAGATAGTACTTTTCTAAATAAGGGGTAGTTCTTAATAGTATGCATCCTGTTGTGTGTTATAAACAACGTACATAAAATGTATACAAAAGTATGCAGTCTACACAACAATATTCTGTATTTAAAACAAAGTAGACACTATCGTATCAACATTTGTAGTAGTAGTTCGAAATATTGTTTATTGCTTAAATTATGTTTAAGAATTCGGAAGAAACTGATTATATAGAAACTGGGAACACGCATGAGGTGAAGACAGTACGAATATAACGTTAGAAACTAGACTAGAATTCAGAATTCTCTGCAGTAAGTTTATCTTAATTATTAAATGAAATCTGAAATCACAAAATTTTCAGTAATTTCAGCTTTGATTTCTTATTAGTCTGTTCAGTGGCAGAGGAGATTATCAGCAAAAGAGTTAAAAAAAATTAAAAGATGGAAGGCCATGTTATAACTGAAACAATTACTGATGAATTAATACCGATTATCAAGAGACGCAGTATCATAAGCAGAGTCCTTCACAAGCTGACAGTAGTTTACAGGTCAAGGAATTGCCCGAGTGTCTTCTTACTGAACATGAAATTTCATTACGGTGTTCGCCGCTTCCTATCTTGAATTCAGAACACACTCTCACATCCTAGTCTTTTAGGATGGATTTTAATAATATTCTTCCTAATTCTTCTAGGAGCCGGTCACGGTAGCCGAGCGGTCTAAGGCATGCACTGTCTTTGCTCGCTCGGAAGCCGGGATCGTGGGTTCGAATCCCACTCAAGGCATGGATGTTTGTGTACGTTTTTCTGTGTTTGTCTACAGGTAGAGGCATTGCGACGAGCTGATCACTCGCCCAAGGAGTCCTACCGCATGTGTAAGATCTAGAACAACCGAAGTGAACGAAGCTCATGGAGGTAGGTCTAGGCCCACTGGGGCTGTAGTGCCAAGGAAAAAAAAAATACTTCTAGGTCTCCCAAATGATCCTTTATGTTCAGGTTTCCCATCACCACAGTGCGCACTGCATGCCCACTCTTGCCTCACCTTGGTTTATTACCCTGATAGGATCTTAATATTTAGACCCATAGCTTTTATGGCATTCATATTGTACAAGAGGTATCTAGCCAATTGAATTATGAAGGAATCCCGGAACTAGAGAAAGTCTGCCCAGCAAGTATCGCAGGAGTATAACGTGATTAGGCGTTGCTTCCAATTTAAGTAGTCATATCAAACACAGGCTCCTATGAATACTTACTTAATCCGTTCCTCTTATACTTTATGGTGTCGAGGTTGTTCTTTCATTTCGATCATTTTACAGACGGTAGGACTCCTTGGACGAGTGATCAGCTCGTCGCAAGGCCTCTACCTAAACACAGGACAACATAAACACATAAAGAATAAAATTCCGTGGTTTTAGTCCGAAAGCGAACTATACCGACCGAGCGACTGCAGCTTGTCGGTGAAGTTAGTGCCAACTTTAGCGGATAGAGGGTGTCGCGTGGTTAGCGCAACGAATCTCCACGGCCGGAATAAACACATACACATACCAAATATCCATGCCGTGTGTGGGATTGAAACCCATGATGCTTTAGACCGCTCGGCTACCGTTGTCAGACTTACGCGAAGGCCGCCCTTTACCCCCAGGAATATTCCAAGAATATTCCTGATACTCACTTCTGTTAGAGGCTGAGTCGACCCCAGGCCCATAGCGCGGCTGGAAGAATTAGGTCAATTGAAGCAATGTGAATTTATAAACCTCCGTCTTTCTTTCAAAATAAGGAAAGTAAGCTAATAGTGGTTATATATAGGATAAATTTTTATAATAACATGTTTTTGTGAATCCGCAAAAATCTAGCAAGTTTAGTGCAGCTATGAAACTAATCGTTCCTGTTGTTTTGAAAGTGATGCAGTTGATACGATATTTTTCTTTTGTGATTTGTGTACGTTAATTTTTTTTTAATTCGCTAGTGGAGTCCAGCTGGGTCAACTCGGCACGGCGGCCACTCATTGGCCTATTGTAACTGCCCCTGGTATATCGGCATCTATGTGTACATCTACATAATTTCTATAATTATGGAGAATTTGGCGGAATGAAAATTGTGGCCTGCCCATTTGTTATGTGTTTAAACAAGAGAAGACTCGTAAGGTGCACGGGAGAGCCGGTGTTTCGTGCTCATTACAACACAGGATACGTTACAGAATTATCCTTTTGTAGTTGGTATCGCTATCATCATCATCATCATCATCATCATCATCATCATCATCATTAACTTACTGTCCCTTTCCGGTTACTGATGTTTCTTACTAAATCCAATACACGATTTAAAAATCAGTACGCAGGCCTACTGGTAGCAACCAGCTTATGCAGCATCGGTTTGTTACCTTTTCTGACTTTCAAAATCTGGAAATTTTATGTCATAGCAAGTAAAATAAATAATTAAAATTAAAACAAAACAAAACTTAAGATCTAAAGTTTGTGACGATGGTATATTAATACAATTATTCTGTTTCTGGACATTTTCCATCGTCCTGTTTTTATTTAAAACAACGTTTCGGAGACTGGATTCTGTCTCCGTCTTCAGGTGGAACCTACTCAGCTGGGCCCAATCGATACAGCTAGTCCCTATCTCCGGATAGAAGCCAATAAAAAAAACAGGATGATGTATAGTGTCCAGAAATACAATAACTGCATTAAAAGTAAGCACGTTTACTCTATAATTTCATGGTGATTGTGACTGAAATGAAACATGCAGACTCCTCCGACACTTCTTACAGAGAATAATATAGAGAGGAGAAATAGCAGAACAGTGGACCGCCAGGCACGCTATACCGGAACCCCTGATTCTGGCAACAAGTGCCTTTCAGAATTCTTCTTCCGACCAAGGACTGATACCTACAGGTCCTCTCTTTCTTCAGCTGTGGTATTATATTTATTTTGTGTTTGCTTACTGTATCCGGGTGTTCCTATGTGCTGTGGCCTTATATAATACGGTAATTTGGCAGTCTGTGCCGGCCACGGTAGCCGAGCGGCCTAAGGCATGCACTGTCTTCGCTCGCTTGGAAACCGGGATCGTGGGTTCAAACCCCACTCAGGGCATGGATGTTAATTTGTGTGTGTCCGTTTTTCTGTGTTTGTGTACAGGTAGAGGCCTTGCGACGAGCTGATCACCCGCCCAAGGAGTCCTACCGTATGTCTAAGATCTAGAAAAACCGAAGTGAACGGAGAAGTTCATGGAGGTAGGCATAGGCCCACTGGGGCTGTAGCGCGAAGGAAAAAGAAATTGGCAGTCTACAATTATGCATTTTTCTTAAACACTGTCCACGATTGACTGATATTTCATCGCTTTTTCTATCATATTATTTCTTGCAGTTTTCTTTTATTTTGATGTTCTGTCTCTCCAATTTATTCCTATAAATCACAAGGCATATCTCGTCCGTGCAGTTTCTATTTCTTTCCTATTTTCCTCTTCGCCTATTTTTCAGTTCCAGAACATAAAATCGGCTTATATGTGTTTTGTATAGAATTTATCTTCACATTTTACTTTCGAAATTTATGGTAATTAATATTTTTAGTTGATTAAACATCGTATATAAAATTTTTCTTCTAGGCGTATAATTGTTCATTGTGTCGTATATGAATTTAATCTTCACAATTTATATGTATAAGTCTTTTTCCATTACTTGCGTGACAAAAGAATTTAAAAGAAAAATGGGATAATATATGTATATGTTTAAATAATTTCTTTTAGCATTAAGCATATTAATTACTTAAAATCCACCGTCTTTATACATTTACATTCATTTTTTTTTAATTTTATTAGCATTAGTATATCTTACCAGAAATTGTTATTTCTTTTTATTATATTTGAATTTCAAATTTTTAGATATTCTACAACAAAATATATTTACAGCTTCTCTGGTTTCCAATGAAAAGTGGAACTTAAAGCTCATTTTGCATTATCCTCACCTACTGGGACTACAGCAGAAAAGCATGAGAAACCGTAGTGAGACTAAGAAGATATAGTTCCTATGTTCCCCATTTTTTCGAAGAATCAGATAATTTTCATTGTTATATTACTGTGCAGAACTAAAGTTAGTATACGCAGACTAACACTGTGTTATGTGAGATGAAGAATAGTTCGTAGCATTTCTTACTCTATTTTATGGAGCCTGAAATTTATTCATGTAGTATTCAGCTTACCTGTATGATCCGACAGGCTTCTGGTGACCCCAGCGGGCGGTGTGTGTGTTGGAGTGTGCTGATGACTCCCGCCACCGCCACTTGTCGCAGTGTGCTGCTGTTGCGAGTTATCAGGCGTCGCGGCGCCATGCTGGTGACCGCCATTAGCGCCGGCACTGCCGGGAGGCAGCGCGTACAAAGCCGTAAAGTCCTCAGCCGAAGAACCGCTTGTGGTACTTCCCCCGCACTTTCCACCTGTCCCTCTCTTGTCGACCACACTGAGTCTGTCTACCGTAACACTGTGGTGATTATGGTGGTGATGATGATGGTGCGAATCATCAACAAGACCCGCTACCCCAAGTAAACCTCCAACAAGATTCGGACGCAATTCTTCCATCAGCTTTGCGTTTCCGGTGGCAACGGATGTTGGAGACTGAAGCGCAGATGTGCAGGGATTTGCAGATGCGGCCGCAGCTGCGAAGTTGAGTTGCCGGGAGAAAATGGCGGGGAAAATATTGAATTGTTGATGGTGGTGATGTGAGTGGTGATGTGGTGACGCGTGGTGATCTGTGCTAGTGTTGCTGCTGCCGCCTCCTGAGCCCGTATTGGCACCACCCCCGGAACCACCCCCGGTTCCGCCAAGGGACGAGCTGTCGCTCGCCGCCAGGCTTGATGGTCCTCCCCCGCCGCCGCCACCACCACCTCCACCGCCTCCCAAACAACCGGACACCTTGAAATCCAACGTAAAGCCGGGTAATTCCACGTCTTAAATTTCTTTTTGCAGTTTACAAAAAGAGAAATGTCTTTTGAAGACAGAGTGTGGCGAGTCAATTTCCTATGTTATGCCTACTGGTAAACATAGGCATTTAAATCTGACTGGCTGCTTCCACAGGACGAAACAATTTGCTGCTGCACAATTCGTAAAATTTCTCTTCGCAGTTTACTTCAGGGAGTTAAAAACAAAGTTGGCTTTTCCACTTACCGGAACAAACAATTCATGCATTGTTATTGCTGGCCGTTAGGGGTGAAGTCTTGTCCGTTTAGATGATGAACATGTGGGAACTACTGCAGCGGTAATATTTTTATTGCTATAATAGTCTGTGATTTCTGCTAGAATAACACAAATTTTAATGTTTAATATGCTTCTTGCAAAAATCTTAGTCCTGTACGATCTTGACCTATACGAGGCAGAAAATACACATTTGCACACAAATTACAACACAGCAACACCACCGATTAATGGATTCATAATTATAAATGTCTGCGTATTATCAGTGTGTAGATATTCAACTGTATATACACGTAGGAATTACCGGGTTTCTGGACCCTGACTATACACGTGACTGGATGGCTACGCAGGCTATGTTTCCCGAATGTTCATTATTGTAGTCACGTGGTCAATCAATGTTAAAAATTAATATCAGTGTGCCATAAGAAAAGCGTAATACAAACGCTATGAAATATTCCTAATTGAATGCAATTTATAGAATTATTGTCCTATATTATATATACGAGTCCAGTAAATGTTATTTGATCCTTTTAGTAATTTATCTGGATTTGGTTGTAATAATCTGATTTCAGTATCTAGGTCACAGTCACGGTTTTTCGTTAGCTGTACAATGTTAAAACGTCTTATTGTTGCTTTCACTGCAGCGTCATCACTTCACTCGTATATGCGTCATTGGAGATCACGAATTGTCTGGCACTGCTGCACTCTTCACCTGAAGAACTGCGTACTGCGTACTGCGTACTGCGTGATGGCGTGCGACGATGCAACGACGGAAACTGAAGCATTAATAAATTTGTTCTACAAGCTGATTTCGCTCCTCCTTTACAATGTGGAAGGATTAGAGTTACTTACACACAAAATGCTGTATAAATTTCCGCATTCAGTGGTAGATTATTGCAGTTAATTATTTTTCAGTAAAAAAGTACGTGCCTATTCTTTCTTCCACTCCCAGATGGGAAAGTTTTATTTCTACGAAAAAGAATTTCAAATCCTTGCTAACTTGTGAGAAAATACAATTAGGCAAGTTATTATAACACCCCTTTTCCCCCTTCGCTTGCAGCCCTCTCCTTCTAAATAACGTTATTTGTTAAGCTTCAATAAGTTTTTATCCCTTGCGTATTTAACTAGAATGAGTTATAACTAGCAGTGCTCTTTAGTATCAGATCTGCTGCAACTTGGGCTATGATGACAAGCCTCGGATAACTAAAAGTGACTAACGAAATTAGACTCAGATATAGTACAGGCAAAGGTTTTATAGGACACGACGAGCTTTCCGTACTCGGAACACCCGGGCCCCAAAACGTAGTGTCTCGCACTATGAACATCCCTCTGTGGAAACGAGACGATAGGGAGTTTTTCATTTTCTCTTCTGCAATGCTGGACCAATGATATGGTTCACATTAGTATTCCGAAGCTACGGTAAAAAGCTCTTTTCTCATTGGTGGATCTTGTAATGGGATTCCATGGTAACGACCAGTAGGGGGGATGATAGGGTGGCTGGATGACAGGAGGTTGGGATCCGTTGCTAAGGGATGCTGCTGCAGGGAGAAAGGGAGAAGGAGAATCAAAATGGCGCCGTGCATGCGTGTGCTGCAAAGGCTGTTATACTTCATGACGAAGCTTGGTTTCCGAGTTGCTGGTTGTGTGGGTGAGATCCTCTTCTTCCATTTCTTTTTTCTTTTCTTCTCCATTTTGGACTGCAACTTTGCTTACTTTTTGTTTCTTTATTCGTTAGAGGGTACTAGAAAACACAGATCATTACGGATGGCATGGGCGGGCGATGACGGAGGGTGCGGAAGCTATGAACCATAAGAATTGCCTCAAGCTGTTTAATAAATAACCATACAGTGGACTTCAGTATTTATCCTGCGCTTACTACAATGTCATACATTTCAGCTAAATAACATTTAATCTGGGGAGAGTTTAAAATCTGTCAGCTATCAGTGACACAATAACTAAAATGGTCTTGTTGTTTTCAGAAGCTTGTAAAATACCTACCTAACACTCGGCGCTACAGCCCTGGGTAAGCCTTGGCCTCCTCTACGACCAACCTCCACTGCTCTCTGTTCCTCATCTTCTCTACCCATCCTTTCACCTTCAACTCCTTCAGGCCGTTCTCAACATCGTCTGGCCATCTCATCGTGCGTTTTCCTTTTCTTCTTTTGGAATGTAGCCTTCCTTTTAACATTCTCTTTGGTACTGCATTATCTTCCATTCTCTCGACATGTCCCAACCATCTTATTCTCTGTGACTTGATAAATCTTACTGTATCTTCTCCTTTCAGTAATGTGTTTATCTCTTCATTGTATCTTATCCTCCATATATTATTTTCCATTACTGGCCCCTATATTTTTTTTTTATTATTATGGTTGTAAAATCCACCGTTATTTTCAAAATAAAGTTTAAGAATAACTTTAACGAAAAAACCTAAGCATGTTTAAAAATTGTTTCTTTCTGAAACTGCAAACATCATTCATCTTCACAATTATGGCTTCTGAGATGTATTTTTGGTAGACAGGCAACAATATTTAATATGAACATGTTTCCTCCATTTTCATGTAGGGGAGACACTCTATCCTGAAGATGAAGCCAACATCTTCCTGCGAAACGTTGGTACGTTTCCATCGGACTCACAGCCATAAATCTTAGGAGACTGCGTTTATGATATTCGTTGCGTGAGAATTTCAGATTTCATTGATCTTGATGTTTTTTTATTGTAAATACAAACCTACTATTACAGTGTTAATCAAAATGAACAGAAGCTTACATTATTTTTCCTAACATTTCTTGACATATTTACAGCACCGAAAAACATTTCAAATATAATTTGTAGTCGTCAGTGCGATCTATATATTATAACATATATTATATGTTATTATTAGTCATTATTATTATATATTGTATGACAGTTTTTCTGGACAAACCGCAAATGATGGACTTTTATTTTATTTTAATTTTTATTTAAGTAGGCTGACAGTTTTTGGTACAGACTTCAGATAAGCCACTACATCTTTAACAAAATAATTTCAATAGTTTTATATATAAAACATGCTTGCGAAAAATCACGATATCTCCATTGTGAGTTAATATTACGCACATTTTATTAATTTCAATTTTTATTATTTTTATAGTTACAATATGCTTAAATTGGACAGGACAATTTTTCTTTTCAAAACAGGAAATATTTTATTGTGTATCATTTTTTGATCGTAAGTGTACCGTCTATAATGCAACAATAACCTTATATAAAAGACACTAAAATATATTTAATACATTAAAAGTGCTTGCTAAATATTTTAAAATGTCATTACGATCGAAAAATTATGCCAAAATCCAACAGGATGCTGAAATATAAGTTTATTGTGTCTTTTATCAACTGCAGACGTTATTTTTCATCAAAATCCGAAACAACATTATCATATTAACCGTGCTTTGGGAGGGATGTTATGCTTATTCTAAGGTAAGATAGAGGACCTTCAGAGATTCGAACTGGGTATATCCAGAATTAAAGCCAGACGTGATGGTTGCACTATCCTCAGGTTTAAAAACGGGGAATTAAATAAAAGCGACGAGAGACAATAGCTTAAAAGCGTACTAGCAAGCTGTGTGACATATATTCAGAAACGATAAACAAATTCATTAAACGATGGTTAAAATTGGAACTCGTACAAAAATATTTGCATATTCTTGGCCTCTGTTTTAGAGCGCAGATTTCTGATTAAGAGGATCGAAGTTCCAAAATGCGATATCCTCGGAATGCTTTGGTATCTTCTGCGGATTATATGTCCGTTCTCTACCCATACAGTGTCATTAATAACAAAGACGACAGGTCTATAATAACTCGGAATTTGATGTAGCGTCATTAAATAATGTAAAGAGAAGAGATCACTTAGCGACCTAGGAGTAGATGGGAGAATCACATTAAAATCTAGCTTAAATGAATAAGGTGTGAAGGTCTAGACTGGTTTAGAATAGGGTCCAGTGGCTGGGTTCTTTTGAACACGGTGACGGTGTTCCGGGTTTCATACTTGCAGGGGAATTACATCACTTACTCACCGATTAAAAGCTTCGGAAAACGGACTCTGTTCCTTTGGAATACTAGTGAGTTCAAAGCGTACACTTCCTTCAGCTCAAATGCTGGATAAATTTGACTAAGTCTTATAAGGCGTTCTGATTTTTGGACGTTTTGTGTTGCGAATTTCAAACTCTTCATTATGGCCGAAATTGACTTGGACTCGAACACATTCATTCATTCATCAGTAATCTGTCAAGACGACAGGTCCACAGTCTCTTCCAAAACAGTTCCTCCATTTAACGCGATCTAGAGCTTTCTCCTTCAAATGAAAATATCCTCTTCTCTCCCCAAGGTCATCCAGCATCTTCTTACTTCTTCTTCCTCGTCTTCTGGTCACACATTATGTGATTGGAAAATTAGCAATTTCCCGAAATTTTCATCTTAAAACGGACAACTTTATTACGTACATTAATTCGCTGTCCTTATTAATGCCCCAGATACAGAGAGTGTGAATTTTATACAATGATGATAGGCCCGATTACGATAAGTTCACTCTCTGGT